GGGGGGGGGGGGGGGGGGGGGGGGGGGGGGGGGGGGGGGGGGGGAGGGACGAGACTTTTTATTCACTGGGAACACAAAACTATGCTGAACGACATGCGCGCTTGTCGACGAGTGAGGTGGGAGCGTAGAGACGACTTGTCTGCAAGCCCGCACCACGGCAAAACAGACGCGGCGTCGATGTCTACAAGCATGATACATTGCTGTTCGAGGCTGAGGGCGGACCACGAAAAAAAAGGTGCGCCGTCGCCGCAGAACATTCCGCCCGAGGAATTTTAACTCGGAGGAATTTCAGTCGTGCTTCTTCGTCCTTGTTTCTCAAACTGCTCTAGTCACGGTCGACCATAGTTTCTGCGTAACCCACGCACGACCTTGCCTCTCTCAGTACAAATCTACAATCCGGGGTGCATGCCATGCCTCAATCCTTGGACTCGCCGCACATAAACCGCCAAAAAGAGTCTAAAAAAAAACAAGCGAAGTCGAACTACGACACGCCCTCCTTGTCCGACACCGGGGTGCACATCGGACTCGCACCTGAGAAACTGCCGCAGCCCCAAAAGGCTTCTCAAGAACGCTCCGACCGTCTTGGCGTCCCTCAAGATGTCCACGCGGTGGGGAACAGCGGGCGCCACGATCAGCGCGGGGGGCGAGTCCGGGGAATAGGGACGTGGCGACGACCCAGACCGATCGTCGCTCAGAACGCCGCTCGCTCCCGCCACAGAAGACGATAGCGTTGTCTTCAACTTCGGCCGTGACACGCGCCCGCAGAACTCCTGTCCGAATCGGAGGGCGAGAGCGTCGTAGAGCGCGAGCGTGTCCGCGGCTGAGCGCCAGACACGCCAGTCCCCGCCCCCGGGCGTCGTCGAGGCAGGCCCGTGCGGTGGGTGGATGCCGATGTGTCCCGCCCCCGGGCTGCCAGGCTCGGCGGAGTCTCCGCGTCCCCACCAGTCCATCTCCCCTCTGCCGCTCGCTCGCACCACCAGCTCGAACTGGACCCTCAGGGGCTCGCCCGCCCTCGCTCCGTCGTTCGGGTCTAGCGCAAGCGGCGGGTCCACGTGGTCGTTGAAACGGCTCTCCACCATCGACGACGCCCGTCCTCCCCCTCCTCCTCCAACTCCCGCCAACGTTGCGTCCGACGCGCTGAGGGTAGTAGCGGTGCGAGCGGACGATGACGAAGCACTGCGGGAGCAGTCCGTCCAGGCAACGTCCCCCGAGGATGACCCGTGCGCCAACGGCTCGCCGTCCAGGTCCACAAGCCTCCAGCGAGTCACGGCAACGCCGAAGATCGGCGCCGCTACTTGAGGGGGGGCACGGACACCGATGGAAGCGGCTCCGG